TTTTAACTAAAATAGTTAAATATTTGGATTTTTTGTAAAATATTTCAAATCAACTATGTCAGCCAGGTCAACATGAGAAACTTAAAATATTGGCTTCTGCAGCTAACTCAGTTGTCTTCACCTTCATTTTCCTGTTTGTTCATAATCTGGAAAAGAAAAACAAGCGTTCCTGCTTTTTCAGGTCCCAAATGATTTCTCAATTTGGAATGAATTAATCCAAAGGAAAAAAATATTCTTTCTACACTGGCAGAAGAAGCTACTGCTGTTAAAAGTCAGATTATCACTTCAACAGTCTCTGAATCCAAGTGCTTAAGTGACTTCCACCAGTTCATTGGTGTGATTTTCTTTAAAACATCATCAGCAAATGTATATTTCTTGAATGGTTCACCCTTAGCTCTGAAGTTTATTATAGTTGGTATTATGGAGGGATGATTGCTGGATGTCCATGTCATAGCCAACTCCTCTTCTTCAGCATTTAAGGTTTGACCCTGGTACCGAGTATTGAGAATATTTTCAAGAAAATGAGCTGAAGATAATGCTTGTCCCATTCATTTTTTTTAATGCTTGTAATTTAACTGTCATTGCATATGTCTCTTTTTAAGATCTCACTCAGTTCCTTTCAAATTTCAACAGCGTCAGCAATAGAACAGCTATTTCCCTGCATTTTGTTCAAGGCTACAGAAAATAGGCTTCAGGATACTCAGCATATGTTCAACATTTCTCTTAAACTCAATATTGAGAACTTTGGCTGTGACAGTGCCATCTATTTTTTCATGATTTTGTTCACAAACTGTCATCAGATTAGGCCAGTTCTTGATATAATGCTCAAAACAGTCCACTACTGAGTTCCATCACACGTCTTGTGGGAGAGTTAGCTTGGTTCTTCCCACTTTTTTTCAGAGCAGCTGCTGCAAAGTTGTTGTCACAGAAGTATTTTGCAATTTCAACAACATTAGCCTTTATTTCTGGAACAATGAAGTCTTTGGCTAGGAGGTGCATCAAAGGAGCACTGCAACTGTATGTTACTAGCCTGGGACTCGCTTCACTCTCTTCTAAATAATTTCTTCCCATCTTGGATACATTTGCAGCATTGTCTGTGACCAAGCTGCGTACTAGACATTTGAATTTTTTTTTCATGGTTTGTTATAGCTTTTACTGCTACTTCTTTAAGCATTCTGCTGTGTGTGCATTTCCTGATGTATCAATTGTTCCTGTAAGGAAGACATTCCCTTCTTCTGTTGTCACACAAGCACATACAACAGGATCATTGTGGACATTGCTCCGCCCATCAAGACTCAGGTTAGCAATTTCACCCTCTAGACCTTTTGCACACTGCTCAATTTCTCTTTTATACACTTTATCCAGCAATTTGCCTGCGACATCTGCTCTATTGGGTGGACTGTATCCTGGTCTTAATGACTGAACCATGTTAATGAAGTGTGGGTTCTCAATCATACGGAAAGGAGAGTTTTGCATAAACAAACCGGGTAATTTTTTTTATCAATTACCTCTTTTTGTAATCTGCTTGTTCTTCTCACAAATTTATCTATGGTTGTTTCTGGATGATGGATATTTTTTTTTCTTTTTGCTACAGGTGATATACTGTGGCTATGTGACATACATGATGTGACTGAAACACTATCATTAGCAGATAACTCTGAAACTATAGAAAAACTATACATAACTCTGAAACTTGAAGATGGATAGTCTTCAGAATCCAGAATCCTGGATTCTCGTAAACAAAATAACAATAACAATGAAGTTATTTAATTATTATTACCATACTGCTCATTTAGTATTACTCATTGCATTCACTGACACTCAGTACTACTTTAAAGATGAAATTGTAAAAGGAAGATCTGCCTTGCATCTAAAATGATAGTATCATAGAGTAACAACTATATTTTTTGCTCAAACATGAGAATACAAGAATAGTCCAGAAGGAGGACAGGCAGCCCTTAAGAAAGAAGTATGAAATAAAAAAGTTTACCAACCTGAAGATCCTACATGTTCAGACATGTTCCTTTCATCATCTTCAATGCAGCTTCCTCCTGAGAAGGAACACGTCTCATGATGATGTTTCATTTGGGCAATCAGGCCTTGTATTTCTTTGTTGCACTGTTTGCATTTTGCACGCATGCCTGTCTTACCCACAGGTACAGGAACTTCATTAAAATATTCCCAAACTGGGTCTCTTTTATGGCCTGCTGCCATTATAGATTTTCCCTTCTAGTGAGAGATAGAGATAGCCCTCAAATCAGTGAAGGCCACACTCCGAAAGACCTCAAGACTTCTGGAATATGCTGCTCAAACAGTTTCACTTTTGTTTCTACTGCCTGTCCCTTCCTTCTCACATTTATCTCCAGACTTCTTCTCCTTGTCCAGATCTATTCCGTCCCCAACAATCTTCTAGACAGTTTGCACCAGTAGAATTTACCCCTGCTTCTACTGGTGTAAAAGGCAGCTTTCCTTCTTTATACTATGGGTTTATGCTCATTCAGCTATATCAAAGACTAAAATTGGGACTAATTCCAAAAAAGACAGGGCATAAGATACAAAGATCTGCATGTTATCATCATATGATATTAAGTAGAGCAGTGAAAATTCTTCAAAATTACCTGAAAATATTTATTTGAATTAAAGATGGAAGTTGCTTAGACTTTGTTGAGCCCCTTGTTGTTCACTTCCTGTGAATATTCTAGCAAATTAGTTTACTGAGAGGAATGTTTGCAGAAGAATTACATTTTAAGTGACTATAGAAGTACATTGGCAAAACCAAATGTTGAACTGGTATATATGATTGTTTTCACTAGAAACCTCATTCCAACTGTTATTCTTCAAGGAAAAGAAACAATCAAAATTTAACAACAGAGTTTTGAGTATCAAGTATTATTGCCTACACATTGTTTATGAGTAATCTACAACCAAAAATTATTCTATGATTTCAAATAACTAAACTTGGCAACTTTGTAAACTGCTCAGACAATTCACAAATATAGATTAAATTACTCACAATGTATTATACGTTCAAATCTAATATTAATCTTTAGCGTTCCATTTCAGCTCCAAACCTTTTCCTTGGCAATCACGCACTAGCACAACAGAGTTGCTTTCAAAACTTCACTCTGTATTAATAAACAAGAAAAAAACTAAAGCTGTGGATTCTGTCCAATTCATTATTTAATCACATTTTCTTCCTACAAAATATGTATATGCAGTTTGTTGGGAAGATTAATATATGCAAATATAATACAAATGTCTTTTAACAATATTAAAAATATCAGGTTCTTTGTTATTAAGATGACTGAAGCTCTGGGATGATTAAAGACAGGCTTATTCTAGAGAAAGAAGAAATAACAAACATTTAATCTGGAGGGAGAAAAGTGAGTATAATAGATTTAATAAAAAGAGAATGACCAGTATCCATGTGTTTGTGAAGTTTTAAATTAAATGGTTTAAAGTGAAATGCAAAGTTTTCTTCAAATATAGATGACTTAAGTATTGCTGCAGTGTTCTGAGGATTTGCCTGCTTGCAATCATAAACCTGATCATTCAGTAGATTAGCTACGCTCACAACAGACTGCCCTAGAAGAATTAATGCTCCTTTGCAAATTGACAGGTTTCAGAGTAACAGCCGTGTTAGTCTGTATCCGCAAAAAGAAGAACAGGAGTACTTGTGGCACCTT